TCATTTAATTACCCAGTAACGGTTACGCGAATCTCTGCTAGAGTTAGCGACTGACTCGCCGTTACACCGTTACAATAGATAAAAAACGACCAGTTTACATGAAAAACTTTATAAATCCATTTTCAACATGTAAGAAAAAAAAATTTTTTTTTATTTTATTTGCTTGTTTATCATTTTTAAACACCAGTTTTACGAAATAAAAAAACATACGCAGTATCTGAATTAAAAAGAGTTCATATTGTTACAATAATTTTTTTTTAGTCAGTTCGAGAATCAATCATATGATGTTAGTTGTATTTGCAAGGCCGTCTAATATAATATAAAGATTAAATAAATAAATATACGTATTCTTAATTAGATTTTTAGACTTCTTGATAGCTGTATGCAGTATATGCGTACGAGGGATCAAATAAAAAAAAAATAAAATAAAAAAGAACAATTTTATTTATAATTATTCTTATTATTTTAGAATAATGATGAATTTATTTTGTAATGCCGTAATATAATTTTTTTTTTTTTTTCAAAAAAAAGTTTTTTCCCCAATTTGTTTATCCGTTGTTAACGAATTGTGCCCAAGTGTATAACCCAATGTATTATGTGAGATAAATTATTTCGTTATCGAATCTATTTTAAACAAACTTTGAAAACAAAAAGTAAAAACGTATCTATTTCTTATTCTATTTTTAAAAGGGAAAATGGTTGGATTGTTCTTGTGTCCGTAAGCAATGTAACATCACGTGTGTACTACGTGTGACAATTAAAATTAATTTAAAGTTATCTTCACATGCTTTACACAACATCCGAATTAGAATCTGAGAATCTGTGAATTTTTAACAAGAATTTTATCGGCCGAACTAATATTATCGCATATAATTAACCTCTCGTTCGGTCGGACTGTTATTAATATGGTGGGGTGGGTCATTCTGACTCATTCCATGACAGCATGTTACACCGCAACATAATGAAACTCGATAAGGGGCGTGATTTACAGTACTTGGCGAGCAGATTTCGCGTCAGCACTAGTGTAATAATACGGTGCCACGCGAATAAAATACAGGACACATACGTAGTTTTTTATCAAGAACGTCTTGACTCGTTATCTTTGTAAATTCCTTGCATTTAACTTCAATTAGAACCGACAAATGCCGTTGCATTTATTTCCCCTAATGAGGGGAGTTTATTGGGCATGAATTTGTTGTAAGTCGTGTGAATAGAATTGGTCGGTTATTACCGTTATTTGTTTCACATCAAGATTTCACGCATGATTGATCGCAGACTTTAAAGTTTAATGCCATCCGTTCCACACTTTAATACATAATCCTGTTATTTTAGGTTTTTTTTCTCGGAGTAATGATGTAATTAAGGCAACTGATCCGATAACTGACTCTTCTTATTGTGCTCTAATTTTTGGGCAATAGCGTTATCTTTCCATCAATGTCCTATCTATGTAATCTACAATAAGTTAGGATGGATTTAATTTCAAAAATCTTCTTAGAGGCAAGTATAAAAAGGCATGCATTGTAAAATATTTTTTTTAAAAAAACAAAAAACATCTTTTTTTTCCTATTGATCATTACGATATGAATCAACAACACACCAAGGTTAACAAAATCTCCCTAGTTCAACAACGATTAAAAGATAATAAATTAATCGTTGATTCTCATCTTTCGACTTGTGAATCTTTTCTTCGGAAATCGCAGTACTCGGACCAAATTGAACTGATGGCAAACCCTATGAAAATAGAACAAGTAGGGGAATTCTTTCAGGGACAATCGTTTGACGTACAAGAGAATAATCGACGCGAAAACTCTTGGTTATGTGAGATCTCGGGAGTCTTTTGATATGTTTAAGAAATATTTATGCTATTATGAACGCTCCTTTTATCGATGGTTAATTATAGCCTGAAGGGAGATTAGATTATTACTTTACGTAAACACGTAAATGTTGAGTTGTTATTTTTTAATTCGTCTAGAATTGCGTGTAGAGCGTATTTGATTTTAAGACCTTTCTATTACGGATAAAACTGATCAACCATCCATATATAGTAGTACTGCAATTGATTTCTTAGATAGGAATAAATATCATAACCTATCTTGTAATAACGTTAGGGACATTTATTAGAAAGTCAAATACGTAGTGTAAAATAAGAAATATTTAATTTTATAATAAACGACGAATTGTACGTGCATTTGAATACTGTAATAAATTTGATTCTTACATTTTGTTAATTGATCAAACTCATAACTCGTTTAACTATTAGGAGTATCGGATAGACCTAAGATTAAAAATAATAATAAACTACGCGGGTGCAAGATACGTTTTGGTGATTGACTTGCCGTGTTGCCGCATGCTCAACCAAATGCCTTTTTTTTTCAATTCACCGTTATGAAAAAGCGTCAAGTTTATTTTTGTTACACCTACTCTCACCTTGCATTATTATCTGTATAATAATTGTCGTATGATAGTAGAAAGTGTTTTAAATGAAATAAATATTTTGATAATATCAAATGCGTGTATTGTATACAAAAGTACTTTGACAGGAACCTCATAACTCCGACATTCTACTGTCTTGTTTATATGGAAAGTTTATTTCTTTAATCTGTATAACTAGGAACCGGAAACCGTTGTGCGTCCGGAGCATATTGATATATATTTTAAAGTAATTTATATATACACGTACATATAATTTTCAATTCTTTAACATTACTTAATTTTTTAATTAATAATTTAATATTTACTGATTATTAAAGCATCATTTATCTTATTAGTAATATACTGTATTTAGATATTACTTTATATGAAAGTTACGCTTTCGATTGCTGTACGTCAAAAAAATTTTTTACACATTGTCTTTTTAATTATAAACAATTACTATTTAAAAAGTTTTTATATCATTGGTGCCTCGTAACAATGTTGCATAATATGTGCAGCAATTAAAGCTATCTTCACATGCGTACGCTAATAGTTAATTTCTAATTTTTTAAATCAAAAATTCACATTTTCTAAATTATAGGATACAAAAATTCTTTATGATCACCAACCAGAATCCGATTAAGAATCTGCGAATTTTTTAAAGAGCATGTTTTACTCTGCGAGTAGATCATTGCATCTACTCGCGTCAACACACTAGTGTGATGATACGGGGCCACGCGAATAAAGATAAGATACATGCATATTTTCTTATCAAGAATATCTTGAGTAATGGTTTTCTTCGTTTTTTTGCATTTATCTTTGATTAGAACCGGCCAATACCGTCTTATTTATTTCTCCTCGATGAAGTTTGTTAAATGTTGTAAAGTCGTATAGATAAAGGTTTGTCGGTTATTGCCGTCGATTGTTTCACGTAATCAAGATTCATGCATGTTGATCGCAGGTTTTATTGAGACAATAAAGTTTTTAAAGTTTCGTGTAAGATGCATAACATGTTACTGTATACGCCATATACTGTAAAGAGAGAGGCTATTGTATTCTCATAATCATTCAAATAAGTTTAATAAAGTTTAAACCTTAAATAATAAAACTATCATCGTGTTGCTCCAGTATTCAACTTTGTTAGTCGGCTGATAGAAGCCGGAGCTTGTGATTTCTAGCAGAAAATTTGACAGAGAGAAAGTTAGCAAGTATCTAGAACCAGTCATATCAGAATTACCTCAAGAGTTAGATAAATTCACCGTCATATTTTTTATAGGTCATGGGTATCCAAGTGTGACGACAGACTTATGAACTAATCGTCACTCAAATGACAATGCATATATATAACCCAGACTAACTAAAAATAATAGGCTACATTGTTTCCGGTATTAGTATTATATAATACATTTATTACATTATAAAAAAATTTTTTCCTACAATAATTTCATATTTACGTTTCCATTTGATTTAGCTTGTTGACTCTTTAATCAAGATTTTAAATTACTAATGTAATTTGATTTAATTTTATATTGAATATACGGTATGAGCAAATCGCAACTAATCATTCACTTTTTTTAATCATCAATTTTTAATTTTTAAATATTTAGTTATTTATTTGGATAATTATTTTCGAAGGTGGACCGGAAATTTTCTGATGTGATCCTAAAATTTATATTATATACAGTATGTATTGTTTAAAAGCTGGATCCGAAAAAATCATATCTAACATTTTGTCACCTTGAAAAATAATTACCCATATTTTATCAAAATATCGACCGTGGGCGTCCCAATATAACGCGCATCTGAATAATGTGATTCCGACCAGAATTAAGCTTAATTCGGGTCGAAATATGAAAATACACCCCTGGGTGTTATTTCGTGCTTTATTTTAAAATGACTCAAATGAATGTTCTCAAAATAAAACACTGGTGAATTAAATAACGCACAGGTGAGTGTTATTTTGCGAGTATACGGTATGATTATATATATTCTGATAATATTAAATGCATGTGTGCATGGATACTTTGGCGAGAATTTCGTTAATTTCGTTGTTCCAACATCCAAAAGTCTGTTATATACTGTATAGAATTCTTATAAATACTCAAAACAGTCAATACTTGTCTTAACCACCTTCACACGGCAAATTTTTTTTCATATTCGAAAATGGAAAATTTATAAAGATCGAGGAGTTAATTGCCGAGTAAAAGTCAATGACACTGCATTACTGTATATTGTAAATAATAATAATATTGTACGTAATACACATCCTTCTTTCACACTTACGGGGAGACAGTATTTTAAAACTCCGTTATTTGTGAATTTCAATTAACCGTCACAAAATATAAATATATCAAACCAAACGGATGCCATCTATACCCAAATCAGATAATAAGAAAGGTTAAATAGGTAAGAAACGACCAGTTTACATGAAAAACTTTATAAATCCATTTTCAACATGTAAGAAAAAAATTTTTTATTATTAAATACCCGAAAAAGAAATTACGAATTTTTATTTTTGTTACGGCATGATGAAAATCCAGTCGAAAATTTTTTTATATAAATTCATCAATTACAAAAATAAAATCGGAGAAAATTTTTTTAAAGAAAACGTAAAAACGAATCATTAGTTTATTTGTTTGTTTATCATTTTTAAACGCCAGTTTTACAAAATATAAAAACATACGCAGTATCTGAATTAAAAAAAGTTCATATTGTTACAAGATTTTTATTTTTTTAATCAGTTCGATAATCAATCATATGATGTTGGTTGTATTTGCAAAACCGTCTAAAATATTAAAAAATATTAAAAAAACGACCAAATAAAAAAAACAAACAAAAAACTTATTTTTAGAATAGTAATGAATTTACTTTCTAATTAATTTTAATCAGAAATTTGATTTTTGAGTTTTTTTTTAAATGTTTATCCGTTTTTAAACAAACTTTGAAAACAAAAAAGTATAAATATATCTATTTCTTATTCTATTTTAAAAAGTGAAAATGTTCTTCCGTAAGCAATGTAACATCACGTGTGTGCTACGTATGACAATTAAAATTAATCTAGTTATCTTCACATGCTTTACACAACATCCGAATAAGAATCAATCTGAGAATTTTTAACGAGTTTTATCAGCCGAACTAATATTATCGCATATAATTAATCTCTCGGTCGGTCGGACTGTTATTAATATGGGGGGTCATTCTGACTCATTCCATGACAGCAGCGGAATGAAACTCGATAAGGGGCGTGATTTACAGTACTTAGCGAGCAGATTTCGCGTCAGCACTAGCATGATAATACGGTGTCACGCGAATAAAATACAATACACATACGTAGTTTCTTATCAAGAACGTCTTGATTCATTATCTTCGTAAATTCCTTGCATTTACCTTCAATTAGAACCGGAAAATACATCCGTATTTATTTCCCTTAATGAAGGGAATTTATTGAGCATGAATTTGTTGTTAGTCGTGTAGATAGGTTATGCCCGCTGTTTGTTTCACATCAAGATTTCACGCAGTCAATGCCAGTAGTAAAAATCCGTTCCACACTTTAATTAATACATAATTCTGTTATTTTATTTTATTTTCTCGGATTAATGATGTAATTAATGTAACTGATCCGATAACTGACTCTTCCTATTGTGCTCTTTCATGGTTTCCCTTATCTCTAATTTTGGGCGATAGCGTTTTCTTTTCATCAATGTCTTATCTATTTAATCCACAGTAAGTTAGGAGGGATTTAATTTCAAAAATCTTCTTAGAGACAAGTATAAAAGGCATGCGTTAAAAAATTTTTTTCTTAAAAAAAAAAACAAAAAACATATTTTTTTTTCCTATTGATCATTACGAATATGAATAAACAACATACTAAGGTTAACAAAATCTCCCCAGTTCAAAAACGATTAAAAGATAATAAATTAATCGGTGATTCCCATCTTTCGACTTGTGAGTCTTTTCTTCGGAAATCGCAGTACTCGGACCAAATTGAACTGATGGCAAACCCTATGAAAATAGAACTAGTAAGGGAATTCTATCAGGGACAATCGTTTGACGTACAAGAGAATAATCGGCGCGAAAATTCTTGGTTATGTGAGATCTCGGGAGTCTTTTGACATGTTTAAGAAATATTTATGCTATTATGAACGCTCCTTTTATCGATTGTTATTTATAACCTGAAGGGAGATTAGATCCGTCGAAGGTATCGGAGATATAATTATATTGTTATTATTACTTTACGTAAACACGTAAATGTTTGAGTTGTTATTTTTTAATTCGTCTAGAATTGCGTGTACAGCGTATTTGATTTTAAGATCTTATAAAAATGATCAACCATATATATTAGATTTCTTAGATAGGAATAAATACTATAACTTATCTTGTAATAACGTTAGGGACATTTATTAGAAAGTCAAATACGTAGTGTAAAAATAAGATATATTTAATTTTATAAAAACGACAAATTGTACGTGCATTTGTATACTTACATTTTGTTAATTGATCGAACTCATTACTAAGATTAAAATAATAATAAACTACGCGGGGGAAAGATACGTTTTGGTGATTGACTTGCTGTGTTGCCGCATGACTCGTACTTCATGCTCAACCAAGTGCCACTTTTTTCTCAACTCACCGTTATGAAAAAGCGTCAAGTTTATTGTTGTTACACCTGCTCTCACCTTGCATTACTGTATCTGTATAATAATTGTCGTATGGAATAAATATTTTGATAATATCAAATGCGCGTATTGTATACAAAAGTACTTTGACAGGAATCTCATAACTCCAACATTCTACTGCCTTGTTTATATGGAAAGTTTATTTCTTTAATCTGTATAACTAGGAACTGGAAACCGTTGTGCGTCCAGAGCATATTGATATATATTTTAAAATAATTTAATATATATACAGTCTGGTGCAAAAGTCTTTGGACTAATTTTAGTTTTTAATTTACTTATAAATCAACAATTAATTAATAAAATATAATAAAAATTTGAATATATACTGTATATTTAAAAACCTAAAGAATAAAATTACTTGATAGAATTTTTTTAAATATATTATAATAATATAATTAAATTTTGATTTAGAGTTAAAAGTATATTTTAAAGCTATATTCAAAATTTGATTGTATATTATGAATTATAAAAAATTGATAAAATTGTTTTGATACATAGATTTTTTAAATAAGAGTAAAAATAAATCAAAAAATAATTTTTTTATAAAGTAAAATTAAATAATAAAATTTCATAATAAAATCAATTTTTTAATAAGTTTTAAAGTTTTTTTCAAATTAATTTTATAAAATAAAAAATTTATTGATTCTATAAAATTAATTTATATACCATAAGAAATATTTAATTACTTTTTTATAATTGGAAAATTTTTTTAATTTTATAATTAATTTTAAATTCAATTTTTTTTTGAAAAAGCAAAAAAGTACTACACTTTACTTTATTATTATAATTTTAGACTTGTAAGTTATAAGATTTATAATATTAAAAAAAAAAAACTCTTTCACTCTCCTCTTTATGCTTGAAATTTTTCTTTTTAGAAAACTTTTGAGTTGTTTACTTTTTTTTATTCTTTCCTTTCTTTTTTTTACTTTCTCTTCTTTATATTCTCTTCTTTTTTTTTTTCCTTATTATTTCCCTTTTTTCTACAAACTTTTTTTTTTATATATATTTTTCTTCCTCTTTTTTTTTCTAATGTCAAAATAGAATTTTTTCTTCTTTTTAAAGATTTTTTTTCTCTAGACCTCTCTCTCTTTTTAATATATCACTTTTCATTTCATTACTTTTCTGACCAATGAATTCTCTTTTTTAAAAAACTATACAAAAAATAACAAACTTTTTACAAGATATAAACTTTGAAAATTTTTCTTTTCTATAGCTTTTCAGAAAATAAACAAATAGTTTACTTCAAAAAATTAACATTGCTATTATTGCCTAATTTAATGTTGTTTACTTTATTATTTTTTTAAATAAATCATAAACAAGCATTAAATGTAAAACTTTTATTAAACAAAAGTTTAAAACCATTAAATCTGATATTGTTTACTTATTAATAGTAAGACTAGATATATCTAAGAAACTGGTATATAATTATTATTATCTAAAAATATTCAAGAAGTTATATCTTACAGTATTAAAAAAAACATGGTAGCCAATATTAATACAACTAACAATAAAATTAGATATTATATTAATAATTGAAGAAATCCAATAGAATAATATATTAAGATCAGAAATTCTAGTTATTCCTACAATACAAGCTGATAATAACAATAAAAGCTTTTTGCTTATCCTCCAATAATATAGATCTATTATATAATATTAGGTATCAATATTTTTAAAAAATCTTAATATAAAACTTTATCTATGAAATATTTTTGTCATACTTAGAAAATATGTATACCAAATTCTTTTTGTAACTTGATGACAAACCTGTATAAAATGATTGCAGCACTTTTATATGAAAAAATAATCACAATCTAATTATTCTCAATACTACTTTACCTGCCAAATATCAAATCACATTTGAGAAACAGTATATTAGTTTTATTTATAACTTGAAGGCAAACCTATATAAAGTGGCTGTGACACTTTCATATAATTCGATATTTAAATATCTTTTAATTAACTAGATGCTATTCAAGATTATAATATAGATTTTAAATTTCTTTTTACTGTATTTCTTGAGTAACATCAAGAAATACAAAGATATAATCATTTTATAAGCCTGTATTTAACTCTTTCTAGTAAAGAGAAATATATGTTATGTTATTAATAATTGTAATTTTGCTTTACAAATTTAAATTTATAATTAATAAAATAAAGTGTAATGACTATTTGCTCCTTAAAAAAGATTTATAATATCAATAGCATAATATATATCTTTTTTTATTAAAAAATTAAATATAAGATTTCACAAATGTAACTCATCCTCTATATTTTTTAATATCATTTAAGAGTATAAAAAAAAATTTTCTAAACCTAAATTATATTTTGAGTAACATTTAATTATCTAAAAAAAATTGATTATTTAATTATATAAAAGTAATACAGTTACTATATACAGATTAACTTTCAAGTTATAATTAAAATTAATATACTTGCTTTTCAAATATAACTTGATATATTATAGCAATATTCTGCCTTAAACTTCAATTGGATAATTTGCTCAAATATTTAAATACAATTGCACTCCCATATAATCACACTATCAGGAGTCAGAAATCGAGTAACTATATAGAAGTATAACTATATAGGTTTTATAACAGAGATTTTTTACCAAAAATAAGTAACAGGATGGCTGTTCTTTGTATGCTATTTTTACAGGTTTGTGCAGTATTATTTTCGAGTGGAATTTTTGAGTCACAAGAATATCTGCACAAAGGTAATTCATTGGTTACACATGACTTTATCACATATGCGAAATTTGCGTAGTTTGTAAAATCACCAGTCAATATAATATAGCTTAAAATTTTAGACATGCAAATTCTTTTTTTTAACTTTGTAAATATTTTAATGTTTTGTCTTGTAGCTTTCTTATGTTGTTTAACTATATGTTAAACATTGTAATTTGCAAAATACAATTTCTGTTTTTTCAAATCTTTAGTTTTAACAACTGGCCATATAACATTCTTATTATTATTTAGTCTGACCAATATTGCATATTTAGATTACACTTTTCATAACACCTATATGGAATACCATTATGGTTTCCCAAGAAATCATATTATAAGTAATGTGTGGGCAGGCTTATGTTTGCAAATTACAAATATTATCATATAAAATTGTATCAAATAGGAATAGCTATTGTTTTCATCACTGGCAAGTCTGTCACTAAAATGGCTCACTCTTTAATCGAATGTTTAGATTTTGGCACTAAATAAGGTAAGGCTTTAACTTCGAGGTGGATTACATTTGATCGACTTTTGCGCACTTGCTAATCTCTTCTTGACCATTTTTCCCTAGGCACGTCTTAAGATTACAAGTGTTACTCTTCATGGTGCACAAAAGTAGTGTCACATTTCTCTCACTCTTAAAATCATTTATTTTACTGTAGTGATGTAGACTTAGTTTATACTTTAAAAAATATAAATTGATTTTGTAAAGTTGTAGCATTTATTTAATAAAGTGGACGAAAGTAAAGAGTATTCTCAAACTCTAAACTCAAAGCTCCAAGCTAAACTCTATTCCCCTCACCAACTACATAAAACTATCCTCTTTGTCTGAGAAAGTAAAAAAGGTAGAAGAAACCAAATCAAAATCCAACGAAAAGAAAACAGAATCAGACAAGTCTTTGGATTCACTGGATGAAAAAATCAAGAGGAATGATACTACTCTTAGCAGAGATAAGGATATTGTAAATTCCACATCACCAACACCATTAGCCAGTGGTAATGGATTTGTATCTACTTCTCTGATCAATCAAAACATATCTTATTTACCATCTTAATCAAATTCAGTCTTGCTGAGATTTCACTCAGTGCTACAGAATTCAAACAGTAAGTCCATTTCATTTCAATAATGCATCTTTATTATCCTCACCCTTCAAACCTCTTGATGTTAGAATTGTAAGCAAGCCAAGAAATGCAGAGTCTAATTCCTTGATGAAAAATTGAAGAATGAGTATTGGTGATATAATATCAGCAAGCACAAGCTGTGCAAATTCAATGGTCAATAGTAACATCATTAATTCAAATATCACTATACCATTATCCACATCGACAACTGCCATCTTGTTACCATAAGATAGCAAATCATCATCAAAAAGGATTGTTTATAAAAGAGGAAATACATTCTTCTCCTTATTAAACAATAGTTAAATTGAATATAAAAACGATTTTGAGTCAAATGTCAATTTTAACAATGAAAGTTGAAACATCCATCCCATTAAATGCTATTATCAATTATTACATCATTCCACCAATGTTACTATTATTACGTGATGCATTTCAATATCGCATTTCCATCTCTATTGTTTCTACAACACTATGAATACTGGAAATAGGTGTGATAAAAAAAGAACATTATCATGATATTAATTATTTAAAATCATAGACAATTATAGAATAGTTTCTGATGAAGGATGATTACAAACTTATAAAATCAAGAGCAAACTATAAAGCTTGGGAATTAAAGTTCATAAGACTTATGATTTCTGAATTTTTTATATTCATCTGAAAATATATAATTATTACAGTACAGAAATTTTACTTGAAAACAATGCAAATGCTGCTGCATGTATGCTGCACAAGCATGTAAAACTGACACCCTGTCACTTATTTTGAGTAAAAAATCTTTGCTAGATTTTTATAAGTTGGCCAAAAAAATCAATATGTAACCACCTGTAACACCAATCATTTCTTGATATTTAACAGATCTTATCAGTTAAACTCTAAAATTAGGATCTAATTTTAAAAAATATTAGTAGTATAAATAAAAACTGAGATATTTAGAAAACAAACTTGTTATTTACTGGCTATATATATAAAGACAGTCACGAAATAGCTAATCACCTCTATTAGGTCCTATGGGTATGAGTATATGTCATTATGAAGTCAAATATTAAACTCATTGAAGAACTAAAGGTTACTGGTTATATCTTTTTTATGTCTAATAGTTTAAAGGGCTAGCTGAAGCAATTGCAGATTAATTAAGGATATTAATAGCTTATGATTGCAATTAACCTACTTGATTTTCTTGCAATATTTTCGTTTATTAACTTTTTATTATTCATAGAATTTCTAACAAGTAACTGAACTTTAAGGAGACGAATAGGAGGTGTTCTGGAGATGCACACTTTTTTAGAAAAATATATGAATCATCCATTCTATACATTTATAAATGCTACTACAACCGTCTTTAATAGGAAGATAAAACGGTTGCATATTACCAGAAATCTGGGATCAGAAAAACTTTTTACTATCTAATTTGCTTGCACAATAAGGAGGAAATAGTCATATACTGTATAAAAACTATATATAACATTGTTTTCTATAAGAAAAAACTTCTGTACTGATAACATCTAAGTATAAAAATGCAACCCAAACATTTGGTGTATTGTAAATAGTAATGAACCATTTGTCCAAGAAGGATCACTACAGTAAGTAGCCAGACAACAATACAATACATTGCTGATGTGGTCTTGGGAAGAAATTAAAATATATAAGGTTGGAATATTTAATAATCTCAAAGAGGCAATTGGAAAAATATATTCATATTGAAGGGATTTCTTGGGGTAAGTTCAAGACAGAACATTTTGAGAATGCAACTGTTAATGATTTTATATAGTTTTGTTAGAGAAATTGATGACATTAGTCACACACAAATCTTCTAGGTGAAGGAAATGAAGAGGACACATGATTATTTAAAAGAGAAATAGAAGTAAGTTCTTTAATTCATTCTTTAGTATCTCTAGCAGTGAAGTTAAATTCTAGAATAAATGTTTCATCCTTTTAGATCTAATGTGCAATCTATTCAAATATGGCATTCCAAAGCTTGCTGTCACAAAATTTTTAATTGTTATCTTACCTACTTGTAATTACTTTTAAATTTTCTATAACCTTTTCAGCCATATACTAAATAGAATATATTTTAATTTAGGGCTTCTGGCAAGAGTCACACATTAAAATGAATGGCTTATTGGCAAGTCAGAAACGAAATGCATCAATGCCAAGAAAAAACCATAGTACTATATTGGATATGTCCTTGGACTTTCAGTAAAAGATGACCTTCTAAGTTTAATGGTTTTTGATTGTCAGATCGAATTGTGGGATTTTATTAAAGAGATGTTGTATCTGTAGCATTTAATTATAGTATGTATTGTTTTTTAAAAAATTTTATATGTAAATAATAATAATAAAACTGTCTCTTGATAATCATGTATTAATGACTATATGGAGTAAAGCTAGAGACGAATTTATTGATTAATTGATTTTCGTTGAATAGATTATATGGTTTTTTTTATTACCATTATATATACTAGTACTAAAAATTGTATAATCATTTACTTTACCATTTCAAGAATAATATATTTAAAAGTTATGCCTATGATTAAAATTTTTGCACTCTAATATAAATGCATATTCTATTAATTATTACAGAAAGTATCATTATTAGGTTTATAACTTTGCATTCAGAAATATCAAAAGTTTATTGATTTTATCTTCCTTTCTTCTTCATTATCTATATTATTTCCTAGTTACAAAGAGTCTTAGTATTTTGCAATTTAAAATAAATAGCATTTACATAAAATTAAATCTTATCTTATTAAATTTAGAGTAATTATTTCGAATTTTTACTATCAAAATAATATAAAAGATCAGTTTGTTTCTTTAATGCTTGTTTTAACTTTCAAAATCCTGTACTTTTTTTCGTGACATTTTTAATTCTTCTTGCTTAAATCCATTACTATCATCTTGTTGTTTTTGAAATTGAATAAGAATATGTAATGCATTAAGTGCTTCTGATAAACTTACTAAAGACATTATAGGTTCTTCATTCTCCTCTTCTAAATCTGGCTTAGAATCAAAATTAGTATAAACTGTTATAAGAATTTCATCATCATTCATTATATCTTCTGTTAAAAGAGGCATGTCGATAATATTATAATAGGATTTGATGTCTTTAATAAGCTCTATTTTTTCCAAATTTGTAAAATCGATTGTTTCGTATTCCCATTATTAAAAATACTTTCAAATTCATTGTCTTCAAGTTCATTATTATTATTACTAAGATCTGTACTAACTGTATTCGAAAGTATACCAGTAGTTTTCCAACAATTTACAATTGTAGTATTGCTTACTTTGTTTTATGAATATGTAATAAAGTCAATGGCTTGCTTAATATTGAGTTTATTTCTACAATATAATAATAAATTAGTGTTATTATTATATATTAAAATATAATTCTTTTAAAAAAACAATTATTCAAGTCACAATCCATCTCAAATAAATTTAAAATATAACATGTATAAAAGCATTTATATTTTGCCTTAAATCACTTAATAATTTCTGTGTCTATTGATTGAATATGAGCCATCATATTTGGTGATAAATATTAAATAGTTATATTGGTTAATTCAATATTTTCGGAATCAAAAAAGTTTAAAGAGATATGAGAAGGTGCATTATCAATAAGAAGTAAAATTTTTCGCTTTTGGCTTCAAAAAATACTATCAATAGATCATAACTAGGGCTCCTAATGATACCAATTCGATACTACTTCGATACCAGTTTGATACTTAAATTTACTATAAAAACATATGAGTAGGTCACAACTCATATATTAAATTTACTATATATTGGTACCATTTCGATATCAGTTCGATACCAGTTTGGTACTTTTTCAGAACCCTAATCATAACTAGTTTTTTCATATATCTGATCTCATCCAAGCTTTTGTATTAAATCGATAGATTACCGGAAGATTGGCAATATTAATATTATCAAAGCATCTTGGTTTTTTAGAGTGTCTAATAACAAGTGGTCAAAGTTTATGAGTTCCAGTAGAATTTGTTGCAAGTAAAATTGAAATACAGATTTTATTCTATATATAAAATTAAAAATTAATAATTATTTTATTAATATTAAAAAAACATTTAATTAACTTTACCATTTTTTTTTCATGTTGTTTTTTATTATTAGAAAGTGTTTGATTAGGAAGTATACAATAGAACAAGCCAGTCTCATCTGCATTACAAATATCATTAGGATGATAGTGTGACAAAATTTCTTGTAATTGTATTCGTGCTTTTGATAAAAATTAAATTGGTGTACTTGCAGCTTCTCCATGAAGTGTAATATGATGAAGTTGATTTCTTTTCTTAAATTTTGTTATTCAATTAGATGAAAACAATAAGGATTCTTTGCTGATATTAAATGCATAAGCAAATTTCATTCCTTTTTCTTTCAATATATCATCACTTAAAATTATATTTGCAGCAATAATTTGTTGTATCCAAATTATCATTGCAAGTTTGAGTTTTGGATATTTTACAGATCTATGTTAATATGTATCTTTGGCTATATCTTCATTAATATTTTCATATAACTTTTGTTTTTTTAAAATCTTTGAAATAATAGAACAATCCAATTGTAAACTGGATATTTATTTATAAATTCCTTTACAATTTTATAATGTTTTGCATTTGGATTCTTTTTAAAATATTTACAAGATTGTTTTTTTTGTAAATCATTTAATTATCCATGTGTTTTTCAAGTCTTGATATTTGGTACCATATTGAAATATAGTGAGTAATCAAAAATTATTTAACAATAATTATTATATAAAATAATTATCCAATAATCTTTAATTAATTTTTTTAAAAAACTCTTTCCTGTTAAGCAGTGGCACAGTAAAAAACTATTAAAAAGGCAAGCAGTAGAAAATAGACAGAAGACAAATGACAGCAACAACTTCAGGCAGGGGAAGAGGCTGAAAATGAAAGATTATAAGCTTTACAAGAGAAGTAAAAGTCCTGGCAACAAGTATTAGTAAAAAAGCCACCACAAGGCAACAGAACTTTTAAGACAAGCAGAAAAAGCACAAGTACAGGTAACATAAAAGGAAAACACAAGATGAAGAAAATGGAAGAAAAAGAAGAACAGTAGGAGCCACCCATAGAGCAGCAACAAGGCAAGCAAGAGGCAAGTAGCAGGCAAGATGTAAAAATGGAGCAAAAGAAAACAAAGGAGAAAAATAACAAGGCACAAAATATTAGAGACAAATCAGCAGATGAACACAAGGCAGTAAAAAAAGGCCTGAACGAATCTGAACAAGGAGTTAACTACATAGGTGAAGTTACTAGAAAACCAAGGCACATGGGGTAAATAGAAATCCCAACAGACTTGGAGTTAGCAGTCTTTGCAGAAATAGTAGAGAAAAAATGCTACCGATTCGACTCCTTCTTGGGAGTCAGAGTTGCGAGAGAATCCAACAAGCAAAAGAAGTTCATCACCATGTTTGATAATTCCATAGATATGCAACAGGCATGTGAGGTTAACTTTGGAGATGAATCTAATAGAAAATATTTGATTCCAATGGAACAAGTTTTACAATCACAAGATTTGAGGCAAAAAGTGATCATCAAAGACATATCATTAGTGGCTAGTGAGGGAGCAGCAAAAACCCTTTTAAGGAAGTTTGAAAAAATTGAAAACATCCAATTTAGGACAGTAGAAATGTAACAAACAGCTATAGTAATCTTCCAGGATGAAGAAGTAGCAAAAATTCTTGCAGAACAATGGTCAATCCCATTTGTAAAAGAGCAACTGAAAATTTTTCTAGCAGCAGAGGAAAAAGAAGAACTAAAAAGAAGATTTGAATTTGTACTAAAGCTGGCAGACTTGCCAGTAGATATGACAGCATATGATTTGGAAAAGATTGGCAAAAAAGTAGGAGGGAAAATGATGTACATACCTAGAACCACTAACTACTTTAGGGAAAGATTTGCATATATCACATTTGAAACAAAAGAGGATAGACAACAAGCATTGGATAAAGAATTCTAATTTGAGAGAACAAACATAAAACTGATGCATAAGCATAAGAGACTGTATTACAAATGTGGACAGGATAGATACATAGCATATCAATGTGGGGAAGTAAAGATCTGTTATGACAGAGAAAGAGCACAAGCAAGATTCATAGCAGTACAATCAAGGTTTAGGAAGGGGCCAGAAAGTAATGCACCAATCTCTTTTGCGGAAGTAATGTGCAAGCACAATAGAACAAGGTCAGTCACTAGATATGAAAAAACAAGCAACAGAGAGACAATGGAAACAAGATTGATAAGACTGGAGAAAAGGATGGCAAGAATAGAGAAGCGCAACGAGAATTTGTTTACTGAACTAAGAATTAAGGAAACCCCAGAGGAGCAAGAAGAGGCAAATAGGATGGAAAGTGAAGAAAGCGAATTACAGTATAGGCGAAAGGAGAAACAATAGCGAAAACAACAGCAATAAACGGATGAACAATATCAAGTAAACAGCAGAATAATTGAAGAAAGACAACTGAGAATAGAGACCCAAATGAATAGTTTAGTTTAGAAAGTGAGTGAATTAATAGAACAAGGACAAAACAGTATAACAAGGGTATAGAAGGCTCAACAATAAACCCAACCAAATTGAACAAAAATGAGTAAGAACAATATAGCAAGAACAATGACCAACAAAAAACAAAAAACAATGTATAAAGAAATCAGAATGGATAACACACTGGTAAAGATGACAGCAATTAACATAAATAGATTAAACGAGGCAAGTAAACAGCAAAATATACAATCGCTAATAGAGGATGAACAGATTACGATAATAGGAATAGTAGACACAAAATTTAAAGAGAATGTATGGACCAGAATAATGAGTATGACAACACACAAAGCAATATGGGTACTAACAAAGGAGCAAGCAGAGGGAGTAGGTATAATCATAAAAAGGGAGTAGGCAAAGCATGCCACTCAGATAACTAAATGGGAGAATAGAATCCTAGCAATTGAGTTCACGTTTAAAGAAAGAAGAAAGATAGGAGTCATGCAAATATACATACCACCACAGCAAGATACGAAGAGAGATAATGCAATAAACAAGGCAAAAGAGATATTAAACAATTGGCAGACACAACAATTCGTAACATCAGTGGTAATGAGAGATATGAATACAACTATAAATGACAATATGGATCAGACAGGAACAGGGGAAGTGAAAGTAAAAAAGAAATGGATACATGTAATAAAAGAAATTGTCCTAATAGACACCTATAGATATCGGAACAGAAACAAGCAAGAATATAAATGGGAGAGAAGAACAAAAAGTAGAATTGACATGATATGGATAATGGAGAACATAAAAGAGTTATGCAAAGAGATGTACATAATGGACATAAGGGAGGAAGTAAAAACAGATCACAAAATAGTGATAGCAGAAGTAAACCTGGGATTTATAACAAAAGATATAAAAAAAATAAGAACGTCAAGTATCAGGACAGTATTTGATTATGGCCATACTAACACATAACAATGGGAAAAATGGAGAGAAGTAGTAAAAGTACAAAGAAGAGAGGACAACGCATGTGAGAGGAAAAATGGAAAAGAAAATAATAAATCGATTGAAGAAAATGGAATAATTTGAAAGAACAATGGCTTAGAGCAGGAATTCAAGAGCTCCTGAGAAAAAAGATAATACCAGGTATACAAGAGAAAACAAGAAAAATCAAATCAATACAATTTACAGTCTTTTGTAAGATCAACAAAATAATAATAAGAGAAGAAAAAATCAAGAGAGAAAAAAACAAAAAGAGCTTAGCAATACAGGAAGAGGACATGTGGCAAATCAACAAATGGATAGACCAGTTGCTACACAACGAAATTACCATAGAGAAGTATAGAGGACTGAATGAAATAGAGGAATGAATAAAAGAGATAAAGCAAGTACAAAGGAAAATTAGAAAGGTGTGCAATATACAAGCAAAACAAGCAAAAAACAAATGAATCATGGAAGCAATAGAGTGAAGAGTGGAGAAATGGAAACAAGGAGGCAAAAGAAAGAATATTATAAGCGAAATACTAGTGAAAGATTCATACAAAAAACAAGTAGAC